GGGCCGAGGCAGATGGCAGGAGACAGGGCTGATGGAGCCCCTGGGGGCTGCCCTGTCACCCGGCCAAGCCCCTGCTGCAAATGAGCAGTGGCTCCCTGGCTGCCCGGGCCCAGGAGAGGCGGCAGCACAGTACCCGGGGCTCCTCTGCGCCCTCCCCACTCCGCTGCTCGCCCACACTGGGACCCCAGGGCTGTCCAGGGTGCACGGAGGAGGGGCTCTGCCCACCGGGGCTCTCCAGGCTGAGGCTGCACTGTGGTGGGTAGGGCATCTGACTCCCCAGGCGTATCCAGGGTCTTGGAGCCAGGGACAGGAAGCAGCACACCTGTCCTCGGGAGGTCACATCATGAACACCAGGGCAGGACGGCTCTCTCCTGCTGCGAGCTGCAAGGTGTCCCCAAACCCACATGCTGTGGTCCCAGCCCAGGACCAGAGGGGCCCTACGTGGGTCCGGAGTCTGCAGATGGACCTGCTCAGGTGAGATCATCCCGTGGGCCCTCCTCCAGGACTGCCGTCCCCATAAAACGGGGAATCTGGAGAAGGCAGGAGCCGTGTGAAGATGAAGGCAGAGATTTACAAGCCCAGGACGCTAGCAAACCACAGAAGCCGGGCGAGGCTCCGAGCAGTCCTCTCCCACGGCCTCAAAGGACAGCCCGCCGGCACCTCGCCTCCGACTCCCGCCCAGAACCCAAGACAATACATGTCCACCACTGCCCATCTGCAGCACCTGCTACGGCACTTGGTACACTCCTGCACTGCCAGCCAGCCAGCCCCCGCCTGGCGCATGGAGCTGAAGCCGCCCCAGCTGGGGCACTGAGATATAAGCCCTGTGTGCGCGTGTCGGGGGATGCTAGGAACACCGAGGGCCCAGGGGGATGGTGCCAGGCGCCCGCCGTGGGTGGGCAAAGGGAGGATCTGTCTGGAGGGAGGGGTGTGCGTGCTAGGATGGGGAGCAGCCAGGAGCCAGGGAGCACGAGGCTGGCCACAGGACTCCTAGCCATTGCACCCGGGAGCTGCCTGGCAGAGGCGGGCATGGGAGAACCCTGCAAGAGGCTGGAAGCCTCAACATCCCCACCAGGGGCTTTGAGCTGCTCACGACCTGCCCAGGCCTGTTCCGAGACAGAGCTGCCGAGACAGCCGCCTACAGGGGTGGCAGGCGGCAAGGCAGGTACAGGGCCCCAGCCAGGTGGCCCCCATGGAACCGGAGCAGCAGCCCACATGCCAATGTGCTGTGCTGGCGACTGGGCAAGACTTGGGCTAGGCAGAGGCCCACCACAGGAGCACCAGCCTCCAGCCCCAAGTCTTGACCTGAATTCAGGCAGGGCCAGGTGGCGGACAGCCCGGTATGCGGAAGGGAGTCCCACCCGGGCGTGTCAGACAGTGGGCCTGGGCCCCCAGCCCCCTCCCATGTGGTGCATGCCCATGGGTGACCCTGTGCCGTGGGTATGTGGCACGGGTACAGGGTGACCCCCACTTGCCAACACCTTCTCCTGGCTCTGGAGCTAGGCCCTGCTGCCTGGCCACCAGGCTGGTATGCCCCCAGCCCCCTCTAAAGAGGCCTAGGGGGTGCTAGGCAGCAGCACCAGCACAGAACACTACTACCCAACAGATCGACCAGTCCTGTCTGCGGGCTTGGCCACCACCCGGGGGAGCTTGGTCCCATGGGCTAGGTCTGTGTTCCCAGCTGAAGACACGCTGGGGCTGCACAGCGGCCAGCAGCTCCACAGCACATGCTGGGGCCACTGCTTCCTGCCCTGGAGCCCAGGAAGAGCCCTGGGGCAGTGGGGCCGAGCAGAGGCAAGGGAGGAGTGCCAGCTAAAAGACATTCTTGGTCTTAAGAGACGGAGCTCAGGGCGCAGAGGCCGGGAATGCAATGTAGTGAGGTGGCTCTAAAATCCTGTCTTGGGCCTCAAGCAGGGAAGAAGGCACCAGTCCCGGGAAGGGGCAGCCTGAGGTGGCCTTGCGGGGCAGCACTGAATGCCACAGGTTCAGGCTCCAACCAGAGTGGGTCCTAAGAACATCATGTGGCTCCTGGGGCCTCGATGTCCTCATCTGTGCAGTGGACCCACACAGGCCCTCTCACGTCACCAGCCCAGACGGTGACGAAGTACGTGGTGTGTGCCCGGCGCTGTTTCTCGACACCACTCCCTGAGAGGTGGGCATGCATCACAGGGGGCACCCAGGGCGAGGGGCACAGGGCCCAAGGCTGCCCACACAGTGCCAGCACCCTCCCCTCCCAGCAGCCTCCGGGCTGTGATGGTTTCCGTCCTCACCAGGTGAGCAAAGGCTCTGCTCTCACAGCGGAAAGCGGCGGGTCCGGCAGGCCCCGGGCCGTTGCATCACTCGGATGGCCCTGCTGGATCACAGCTCCCTTGGGTACCCAAAGCCCAGTCTTGTGCTGCGAATGATGAAACCTGAGGCTTTCACCGCCTGCCGGAGGCTCAGGACCACCCTGGGGACCCTCACTGAGCCACACGGGGGGCTTCCACCTCTTGCAGGGGACAGGCACACAGTCCCTCCGGTTCAGCCCCAGATGGGCTGGTAGTTGACCTCAACCAGTCTGGACTGGTGGCTCTGGGCCAGCCAGGACCACCTTTCCAGGTCGTGGGCAGAGCCTCCTCCAGAGACTTTGCTCTAGGTCTGTTTCCTGCTAAGGGCACTGCTCCAGGGCCTGCAGCGCCCATGCTGCCTGGCAGGCTGGGGCCCCAGGGTTTGGGAGCAGCTGGGCAACTCCTACGAGGGGCCAGTTCCAAGGCCCTGACCTTGGACTCCCCACATCCCCAGTCCCTGCGCCTCTGCCCCAGCTGGAAGACTCCAAGGACAGGGTTTTGTGGGCTCTGAGCCCCCCACCCTGTGCCTCTTGCTCCCCAGCCCCACATGGTGGTCAAGGTGGGCAAGCACGGGTCTACCCACGGGTGTTTACTGAGAACCCACTTTGGGCCAGCAGCCAGGCCAAGCTCTGTGGTGACAACAGAGGACCAGGTAGCAGTGGTCCCTGTCCCCAGGGGCCCAGCGGACACATGGCAGTTGCAGCAAGGGCTGGGGGGCCAGACAGGTGCCCAGGCCAGTCCGGTGGCAGAGGCAGAAGCCCCGGGGCTGGTGGGCTGCGATTTAGAGGCGGCTCTCTGTGCAGTGCTCCAGAGAAAGGTGACAGCCTCACGCAGAGGCTGGAGCCCACCCACTGCCTGCCCAGCCTGCTTCCTCATCCGTAAAATGGGATAACTGTTGTTGCCGCTGCCTGGCCCAGTCCTCCGGAACCACTGCAAGGCTCTGATAACGCTGCTGGCCACGCAGGCAGAGCTGGAAAGGCCACCCGTGCCCAGGACCTCCTCCTGCCCTCTTGATCCTGAGGAAGAGCTGGGTGTCCACCCCACCCGGCTGGGCCAGCGGCCCTCCCAGAAGAGCCCCCTTAGGAGTCAGCACCCCACAGGAGCCTGCGGGAGAGGTCAGTGGCAGTGGCTCCTGGAAGACCATGCCTTCAGGGGCCACCAGAGGGCGCCCAGTCCTTGGAGGCCAGGCCTGGTGGCCCAGAACAAGAGAAGATGCCCGACTTGGCTGCCCCTAGGGTCACTGCTCCCCTGGGTGCCCCTAGGGTCAATTCCCTCGGCTCCTGTGGTACCCCCACTCTCACCAGTGACCTGGGCCCTGGTAGCCGCTCTCCCATTCTGGGGGCCCAGGGTGCAGCCCGAGAGGCCATGGGAAAGTGGCTCTCTCAGAAGGACACTGGGGGGTGCCCTGTCCACAACAGTCCTCAGCCTCACATGCCCCATGGAGGGTGGCACCTGACCGCAGCTGGCAGGACACTCTGCCAGGGGCATCCACACACCCTGCCGAAGGACAGCACCTCCACCCACAGCTGAGACACCAGGGCAACATGGTGTCCTGGGTCCCCTAGCCCTGCACCCCATCCCCGAGGATGACCAGACTCGGGCCTCTGGCCAGACCCTGCCTTGACCTTCCCCTACCTGATCTGTGCCTTTGGTGCTGCCCACTCTGACTGCCTAACTGGAACAGTGGGTTGCAGGTGTTAGTTTAGGAGGGTCCAAGAGAGGCCACACTGTGGACTGGTGGGGGTCGGCCGCTCAGCCACCCTGACACTCCGAGGGACTCAGCAAAAGGCAGGGGCCGAGGAATGGCTTCTGTTTGTGTGGCGGAGGACGCGGAGGCACGGGCAGGGCACAGAGCAAACTGTCAGGGACCAAGTTCCAGCCGTGTCACCCACGGGGGCACCTGAGGCGGCCCTGCTCGGAGACCCTGGGGGCGGAGTCCCGAGCCTGGCCACCCTGCCACCCTTCACAGAGATGCCCAGTGTCACTCCACAGTCGCAGGCCACCACGTGAGTCCGCCCCGGCCTGCAAGCCTCCTTCAGGGAGGCACCGGAGTGTAACCTGGCCCGTGCAGCACCCCACCTCGTTGCCCACACCTTAGGGAAAAGCCAGGCCAGGGGCAGCGGGGGGGCGTCCTCAGGACAGGTGCCCGGGCCAGGCTCACACAGTTCTGTCCCCAGCTCCGCCGGCGGGGAAGGGAGGGGCTGGGCGCTCGCAGGCAGCTGCAGGGCCGAGGCCGCCGCCAGGAGGGCCGCTCTGCTTACAAAAGATGACTTGGCCCTGGGCGGGGTCCAAGGAGCCGACCACCTGCAGCTGGGCCCCCGAATGCCAGGCGGGCCAGGGGCGGGCGCGCGGGCAGAAGTTCCCGGGCAGGGACGGTCGCGGCCGCTCGTCCCGTCTGCTCCACCAGCAGGCGAGAGAGCGACTCACGAAGCCCGTATGCGGCGCTGCTGGAGACCCGGGGAACCTCCGGGCAGGACCTTCGGACCTCCCAGAGAGGTCCCCACCCCAGGACCCTGTCGGCTACGCCCAGACAGCCGGCCTCGGCCGGGATGCGCCCGGGGCGGAAGGCTCCCCGCGGGGAGGGCGCCGGGGCACGCGAGGGGACCTAGGCGCAGAGGAGCGGCGCAGGGCAGACGCAGACCCCGGCCCGGAGGCGGGCGGAGCCCCACTCACCCGAGATCTCCGCCTGGGGCACATCGCTCAGGCTGAAGCCCTTGGCGCCGTAGATCTGGCGGACCTCGCCGCAGCTCCGGCTCTTGCTGGCAGCGTCCCCGCG